GTACCACCGACCTTGTGGTCGGCAATTAGTGTTTATCCTACAGTACCACACTAGGACCTCCACACCCAGAGATCCTAATTTCATTGGCCTGAACTGCGGGTATTTTCTTAATATGCAGCCAGTCGGGAGAACCACTGACCTAACGTCATTCCTGACATGGCCCCTCCTTACCAAACCCCAGCTCACAGTGATCCCCGAGGATGGAGGAGAGCTGCCCATGGGGTTCCCAAGGCTGTCAGGCAGCAGTCGACCTCAGATTCCTCCTACAGAGCCATTGATGAATTCAAACTGCCCACCTTTCAGTTAGCAGCTAAGCCCTTTAATGATGCCTCCTAACTACCAGTGGTGGTGGTGGTTATGTGCCATGGAGTTGGTTCCGACTCATAGCGACCCAGTACAGGGTTTCCGAGGCTGTAAATCTTTACGGGAGCAGAAAGCCTCATCTTTCTCCCATGGAACAACTGGTAGTTTCGAACTAGCTGAACTTGAGGTTAGCAGCCCGATTCGGGACCACTATGCTACCAGAGCTCCTTGAACTAGCAATAAATCCTACGAAGCTAGGACTTGTGTAAGGAGAACCTGCCCAAGAAGGAAACCCCCAATATTTTCACTAATAGTGATGCTTAGCTATGAATCCCGTGTGTCTTCTCAGACAGCCAGTTAGAGATACAGACACGGATTCCTCAGTCGGAAGGCAGGTGGGGGTGGTCATCTTCCACAGTGAAACAGCCAACTTTGGTTAGCCATGAGCTGAGCATCAGTCTGTGACCATCCCAGCCTTTGACAAGACTTGGTCTTCCTCATATTCTGTTTACACGTGTCTATGATGTCTGGGAGAGAAGCTAGCCGTATGCTAAGTCAATGAAACAATAAACCAAAATCAGTCCCTGAAAACTCTGTGGAGCCCAAGTCTACTCTGACACACACGGGGTCCTCAGGAGACGGAGATGACTTGATGGCCACATTTTAAGGAAACCTTAAAAAAAAAACACCCACAAAACAACGGGTACCAGTTAGCTCTTGCAGGTCACCTCTTCCTGAGAAACTCAGACATGGTAGCATTGTTCCTGCCTTCAGTGTGGCAGGAACACAAATCTAAGCCAGGGTTGTGGGTCCTTATCTTGTGGTGTGAGAGTGGGTCACTGCTGGACCAGCCAGGCCAGCTTTCATTCCTCAATCCGGAGCGCTGACTGTTCAGGGACCCCTCTGTCCTCCACCACAATGAGACAGGTTCAGCAAGTTGCACACAGAAAGAGACGACCAGCCTCTCGCTGGGCACAATTTGGTGCTATCTGGGGCGTCACTCACAGCCAGACTCTCTGCCCAGCATGGAAAGGCTGCCATCCTGAGAAGAAAGGATCACACCTTCGGGCCCGAATTCCCTCGAGACCCTGAGACTCGTTCTCTCTCCAGGGCCTCCAGCCCTCACCTGGGTTGATGCCACTGAGTCAGGCATGGGATCTCTGTCTCTGTTTTATGAAGTTCTCTGAGACACTCCCAACACACACACATACCCACACACTGCCGTTGAGCTGAATCTAACTCATAGGATTTGGGGTTGTAAATCTTGGAGGACGCAGCGGCATCTTTCTATTGTGTAGAGTGGCTGGTGGGGCAGCGAGCATGCGGCTGTTTCCCTTGTATCTGTGGTGGAGCCGGTCCAATTCATGGTCACCCAGAGTGGATTCATGGTACACAGAGGCTTACAGAAAGCAAGGGATACATATACAGGCTTGTGCTTGCTTACCCATCTGTCGGGAACAATTTCACCTGGGTCTCACCCGGGCTGAAACCCAGGTGAAATCGTTTAAAACAGATCAATACATAAGCACAATTAAGCCTATGTCCTGACGTGGTGCTGTGGGCTAATGCATCAGACTGCAAAGTCGGTTGAACTACAAGGTCGGTGGTTCAAGCTCACCAGCTGCTCCTTGGAAACCCGATACAGGGTCCCAATGGGTTGGAACCGACTCAATGTCCCTTAACAACATATCTTGTTTATTGAGTACTCTGACCCTGGGTGACCTCACCCACAATGAAGCAGAACACTGCCCAGTCCTGCACTCGGCCCATTACCAGATGTAGATTAGACCATCTTGATCCACAGCGTTCACACTGCTGATTTTTGGAGGCCAATCTCCAGGTCTTTCTTCTTAGTCTTTGTCTGGATGCTGAAACCTGTTCAATATCATAGCCACACGACAGATGATGGGTAGGGGGATTGCCCAGGAAGAATGGAACCCAGGTCTCCCATGGGAAGGCAAGGATTCTTCCACTGGGCCACCACTGCCCCTCTCTGTTATTGTTGTTGTTAGGTGCTGTCGAGTCGGTTCCGACTCATAGTGACCCTCTATAGGGTTTCTGAGGAGCTGCTGGTGAATTTGAACGGTTGACCCTGTGGTTCAAACCGACCTTGTGGTCCAGTGCATTATCCCACAGCGCCATACCAGGACTGTTACATAGATATCATATATTCTATTATGTGATTGCTGTTGTTAAGTGTTGTCGAGTTGATTCCAACTCATAGCGACCCGGTATAGGGTTTCTGAGAAGCTCTTAGTGAATTTGAACCGTTGGCCCTGCAATTCCAACCGACCTTGTGGTCCAGTGCCTTATCCCACAGTGCCACCCCAGGACTGCCCCCTCTGCTTCGCCCCAAAAGCGTTTCAGATGAAACCAATGTTCTCATCTCAAGAAACTTCCTCACTGAGGACCCTGCTTCTGAAGACCAAGGAGACGGGGACACCTGCAGTGTAGTTGGAAGCACCTGCTCCCTAGTGGGCTTCCCGTCTAACTGGTGGGGGCTGGAGCTTTAATTAACACACGATGGGAAGACAAATGGTTCTGTTATTCATCATTTCCTAGTGGCGTCTCAGTGGCAGAATTCTCACCTTCCATGCAGGAGACCCAGGGTCACTTGCTGTCAGTGGAGGCTGACAGGATACTGTGATGCTGAGCAGGTGTCACTGGAACTTCCAGACTAAGATTAGGAAGAAAAGGCTGGCAACCTACTTCGGAAAGTCAGCCAGTAAGAACCCTCAGGATCACAACAACTCAATCCCATCATGCCCAGGGTCACCATACATCGGGGGGTGAAACACCGCACACAGTTCCCAACCAGCCACAATGCGTTCTGAATTAGCGCTATTGTTGAGAATATAAAGAGGGCTTGTCAAACTTTCCTTCATCTGAAATTCAGGCCACTATGGGCCTCCCCTCACGGCAGGCTCTACAGCCATCTGAGAGAGGTCTCCCGGGACAGTGTCTACACTGGCCCCTGCGTGGTCACTGCTCAACTCAGAGTCCTTCAGACACCTGGTGGCTAGTGCAGTCCATCAGCAAGTTTAATCATTCAGGGCTGAATTATTTTCTGCGTTGAATGTTTTTGGTGAAATCGTGTTTTCCATAATGGAAAGCACTTTAAGTGAAATGAAAAAACAAAAAAGATGTTTTCGAGGTAACAAGAATTTTGATATAATTATTGGTACGATTGTAGAGTCCTGGTGTGGCGCTGTAGGATGAGCACCAGACTGCTAACTGCAAGGTCAGTGGTTCAAACCCACCAGCCGTTCCTCAGAAACCCTGTATAGGGTCACTATGAGCCCGAACCGACATCAGACACTTCACAACAACAATTGTAATTTTTAAGTGCGGTCAAGTTGGTTCTGAGTCGTAGCGACCCTGTAGAGAGTTTCTGAGGAGCGGCTGGTGGGTTTGAATCACTGACATTGCAGTTAGCAGTCCGGTGCTTATCCTACAGCGCCATCCCAGGACACAAATAGTGAGATGCTGGGGTTGGTGAGATAAGGCCTGATTCATGCAGTTATGCAAGTGCCCACCAGATGGCAGCATGCACCAAAAGTGGGATAGAAGCTTCCCATTAAACCCCAGAGCTGGAAAATGTAGGTGGGCACTGGACATGAGAGGGCTTCAAAAGTTTGTAGAAAAGTACATTCTCTTAAATCTATTTTTCCATGAGCTTTTTCTTCTTTTCTTATTGTGAACTGGGTGAAGGTTTACAGAGCTGATCAGTTTTCCATCCAACAATTCACACACATTTTGTGTTACAACACTGAATACAGTCCTCACAATGTTACATCAACTTATTCCACTTCCAGTCCTGCTTCCTTCCCGGCCCTTGTGAACTTTGCCCTTGGGTCACTGCTTCCCTCTGGACCTCAAACAGATGATGATGCTAAGGGGTGCGTACCTCTTAGTGTTGTGGTTCCCCTGGGAGAGCTTGTCTATTGTTTACTGGAAGTTCACAGGGGTGAGTTAGCTCCAGACCTGATGGGTGGCTAAGGGCCACATTTGTGGGGGCCCCACGGACTTTTATATCCCATAAGTCAGCTTCATTCTGTGTAACTCACAATTTCCTTATGAGATCTGTGTTTCCATGTTGCCCTAATTAGCAAACTGGAGACCAGTCAAGAGAGGCAAGTGGTTCAGGAAATGCTGATCAACACTCATCAAAGTCACTGGCCAGGAAGTTTGAAGTGTGCCAATGAATACACTGAATTTGTTATGTGCCGCATTAAGCACGACCTTGGGAGTCCTACTGTGGCGCTGTAGGTTAATGAACAGGACTGCAAAGTCACAAGGTGGTGGTTCAAGCTCACTGTACAGGGTTGCTGTGAGTCATAATAGACTCAACGGCACTTAACAACAACAACAAGAAGCTTGTCCTTTGGGGGAGGGATCAATATACTTTTCAGAATATGAAGGAAGGCCCACAACCAGAAAAAAAGCACAGAAAAACACACCCAGTGCAAACCCCCAGATGTTGGCTTGGTTCTGACTCACAGCGACCTCACAGCGACTGTGGTGTAGAACGGAAGTGTTCCACCGGGTTTCCAAGGCTGCCACCTTTACGGAAGCAGAAGGCCACCTCTTTGTCCCTCCACCCCCTAACCTTAACCACTGTACCACCAGGGCTCTGCTTGAGGCTTGCAGGAGCTCTCTAAGTTGCCAGAGCCACGAGACATTTAGCGCTTCGGTACCTGCGGCTCCTGGTCGTGACCGCTGGGATCTCGCTCGTAGCTCTCTGCGTACAGCCGGAGCGTGGCCCGCACACCACTGGACGAACTGAGCCGGAAGATGAGCCGCGATGCGTCCGAGAAAATGATCCGCAGGCCCTGTGACCAAGGACATCCAGAATAGATCGGTGAACACACAGACAGATATGGTACAGGTGACACACAGGTAACATTAACATCATCGACTGAAAATCTGTCACATTGCTATGATGCTAGAAGCTACGCCAACCGATATTTCAAATACCAGCAGGGTCACCCACAGTGGACAGGTTTTCAGCAGAGCTTCCAGACTAAGAGACTAGGAAGAAAGACCTGGAGATCGTCTTCTAAAAATCAAAGAAAGTCTGTGCATCACAACAGAAGAGTGTCCTATACAGGGCTGGCAGATGAGTACCTACGTTGGAAGTGGTAGGAATAGTAGTTAGATGCCATTGACCCATAGCGACCCTATTCACAACGGAACGAAACACTGCCCAGTCCTGGGCCAACCTCACAATCGTTCTAGGCCTGTACACACGGTACAACATTGAAAGGCCATGTACAAATGCCACAACAATGTCATGACCCGGGACACACATTTCGCTGCGTCGTCCTGAACCTAATGCAATGGTAACTCACAACAATGCAGGTCAGTACACTGTACTATTTGCTTACCCACACAGGGTGATGCGGAGAGCTGAGAAGTTACTTAGGGCTAGACATTTGTTTCTATTCTATTTCCATCTCTTTGTGGCTAATGTTGAGGGAGCGAAGTGAACGGATGCTCTGGCACTATGGGAACCAGAAACACATTGGGTGACCTGTAATAAATATCCATGGGCCCAAAGCTCATCCCTTATAGATCCGCTGGACCAATGGGGACAGGCAATGTATCCATCTCAGTGAGACAAATTACCCATACCAAAGACCCTCAGGTGAGGTCAGACTTTGCTTTCAGCCGGGTCTTTTTTGTTTAGTTCATCACTCCCAGAGTCCTCTGGTAAAAGCAGAATCTACAAAGAACTGCTTGGTGCTGGGGCCTCCGCTGTTCAGAGGGGTAGCTGAGCACATCTGTCTCCTCAGTTCTTCCTGTCCCTACGCCTTGGCCACCAGGGTGGGATGGGAACAGAGCTGTGGACACACCTTCCCACTGCCCAGTCTTAAATCTCCTCTCTTCATTTGTTTTTGCTCAGAACGTCCCTACTCTTCTCATTAGAGATAGGGGTATTTTAAAAGTACGACCACAAGAGCATACTACAATTTTCCGTTAAAGTAAATGTATTCACCCAAGAAAACTGATCATGAATTATCCGTGAAGGGTCTTCAAAAAGTTCCAGGGAGAATGGGATGAAAAGATAATGGATGATGAGTGAAATTAATCAATCACAAAAGGACAAATATTGCATGAGATCACAGTTGTAAAAAGCTAAGAGAAGTTTTTCTTGCTAAGAGAAAAGGTCTATAAATGGTTACCAGGGGTGGGAGGGAAAGAAAGTTATTCACTGGCTAGAGACTAGACACATGTTAACAAGAGGGAGACTGACAGAAGAAAAATGAAGGTAGGGAAAGACACAGGGAGGAATGCAAGAGTTAAAGAGGAAAGAGGTAAACACAGTTAACTGATGAGACATGGAGGGGTTGCGATCATTTCACTGTAACGAAGTATATGATTTGTTGAACGTAAAGCTAATGATCCGCTGTGTAAACCTTCACTGCATTCACAATAAAAAGATTTTTTGAAAAAGAAGAGATTGGTATTTTTTTCATGGACTTTTGGAAGTCCCTTTAATAAGTGTATAGGCTAGGGCCAAGGGAAGGAAGAGGTGGGAATGAAACTGTCTGGGGATTTGTTCCTTCTGGAGAAACAGAAGTCTCATTGATATGGCTCATCAGACAGCTCTGGTAGGCAATTGATCCTTGAACTTTCTCTGGCCTCAAATCCTGCCATTGTTGAGAATAAGCCGTTGTTGAAAATATACTTGTACGTGTTGTGTAAGTCAGACCACCAAGTCTTGACCCCACTGAGTTGTGAAATCTGTTTGAAAGGATGGGATGCTCAAAGTGGTTTTCTTCTTTCTACATTTGGGGACATAGTTTGTTCCAATCCCCAAACCAAAAGCTTCAGTCATCCTTACTCAAGTAAAACCGCTACTGAGTTTATTCTGACTCACAGCAGCCCTTCAGGATGAAGTACAACTACTCCCTCCAAGACTGGAAATCTGAGTTTTGAACAGACAGAAATGTATTTTCTAATAGCGACTATAAATCTTTATGGGAGTTGTTGTTGTTAGGTGCTATCCAGTTGGAGTCCTGGGGTGGCTCTGTGAGTTAATGCCTCAGACTGAAAAAGCCCTTTGAACTACAAGGTCGGTGGTTCAAGCTCACCAGTCGCTCCTTGGAAACCCTATGCAGAGTCGCTATGGGTCGGAACTGACTCAACGGCACTTAACAACAACAACAACAATGTCCAGCTGGTTCAGACTCACAATGACTCTACACATGACAGAACAAAGCTCTGCCTCGTCTTGTGCCATCTTCACAAAGGTTGTGCTGTTTCAGCCCATTGCTGCCACCACTGTGCCAATCCATCTCGTTGGGGGTCTCCCTCTTTTTTGCTGACCCTCTACTTCTCCAAGCATGATATCCTTCTGCAGGGACTGCTCTCTCCTGATACGACATTCAAAGTACCAGACACGAAGTCTGGCCATCCTGGCTTCTAAGGAGCATTCTGGATGTACTTCTTACAAGACAGAATCAGCTGTTCTTTTGGTAGTCCGTGATGCTTTCACTATTCCTTCCCAACACTATAACTCAAAAGCATCAATTCTTCTAATGGCTTCTTGATTCAATAATCAACTTTCACAAGCAAATGAAGTGACTGAAAATACAATGACTTGGGCCAGCTATACTTTAGTCCTCAAAGTGACATCTTTTCTCTTTAATGAGACCTCTTGAAGTAGACTTGTCCAATGCAATATATTACTTGCTTTCTTCCATGAGAAGAAAATGAAAACAAGTGTGCTAGAGTGAAAATATGACCTTGAGTATTGTTGTTGTTGTTAAATGCTGTCGAGTTGGTTCCAACTCACAGCGACCCTGTAGAGGGTTTCCAAGGAGTGGATGGTGAGCTTAAGCCACCAATGTTGTGGTTCAAACTGACTTTGCAGTCCAGCACATTAACCCACAACGCCACATCAGGACCTTGAGTACATCACACCTGAACTTAGACACCATCTCCAGAACAGGTTTGTTGTATTAGACATTAATGACCAAAGACCAGAAGAGTGTGGGGCTTCAACAAGAACGTCACAGAGGGCACTCCAGAGCCCAAAGACACTGACCTAGCCACTGGGGGCTAAAGATAAGAAGGAAGCAGCCAGCTAGTCTGAAGAGGTGGGAGGCGTGTGAAAGCTCCAAGATGCTCAGACATTACCCATCGGACCTAGCATGGATGGATGGCTGACCAGAATCCGACCAGATGAAGATGAAGAAGTCTGATGATACAGGGAGCAAGCACAAACTGCTACAACCTGATCAACTGGACCCTCGGCTATGGATGAGGCTGCTCAAAACTCCACATCATCACATCAAGGATAAAGCATGTCTCCTTAGCACACTGGGCTGATAGGGACAGGCTGCTTAGAATTCAGCTACCAAAACTAGGGGGCTACAAAGGCACGAAGTGGCTGCCTTACAAGCTTCCATGAGGGTGCTAAGTGAGAGAACGAGAGAGTAAGACAGAAACCCTACTGGACAGTTTTTCTCATGCCCAGATGAGTCTAGTGATGAGGGAGATGGGATTTTATGATTCAATTATGAGTAACTGTTATCAGGTCTAATGGTGATGGTCACAACTGTAAATGTAGAAGAGGCACAACTAAAAGGGGGGAGTAGTAAATCTGTCATTTCAGGAACAGGGTACCCAAGGACCATCAAGAGGGAAGAACATGAGAAGAGTGAGGGATCCTGAGCAGAAAAGCAGCAACAACAGAGATGGTGGAGGAGGTGATGGCTCAGAGAGACAGAGAAGGTGCAGGCTCTCGGCCCAGGGACTGAGAAAGGCTGTGTGCCTGTGGGCAGGAGGCTGGCTTGCAAAATGTGCCCTTTGGACATCTAAATGAATACGTATTTTCAATGCAATATGTGTACATTAAAAAAGTAATAGAGGTAAATACTGTTGACTGGCTGGGGTGCATGGCGGGGTTTGTAATCATGGTACTGATCTGCTGAATGTAAATATGGTGACCTTCTATCTAAGTGTTTACTCACTCAAAAGCTTTAAAAAAAAGAAGAAGATCACACAGGAAGAACGCCAGAGGTCATTAAAATGATAAGAAAGAAAAGACAGAATTGATTTCAGAAGAGACTCTGTAACTTGCTCTTGAGTGTTGTTTTTGTTGTTAAGTGCTGTTGAGTTGATTCCGACCCATAGCGACCCTGTATAGGGTCTCCAAGG